TGGCCGCGCTCCCCTTGGACCCGCGGCGGGGGGCCGGAGGCGGTCTGAGCGTGTTGCAGGAGCGATCCAGACCCGTCCCAGGCTTTGCGATGTTTCCCCCTTGGTGTTTTTATCGAATGCTGCATTTCACCTGTTAGCAGGTGGCTCGAAGCTGAGCAGGCCCGTCAACGCGGGCTCCTCCTGAGAAGGAGATCCCGTGTTGGATGGAGACTCGGGGATGCTTTCGCTGAACTGACTTTACGCAGGTTTTCCCACAATCCAGCTCGGGAGAGCGAGGTCCTAGGGCTGCCGCATGCAAGAACAAATATCTGTAGAGGCAGGAAAACAAGCTTATTTCCGCTATTGTTTGTAAAGTTTGGAGAACTTTCCAAGCCAGCACCGCTCGGAGCGACGGCGCCTTTGCACAGAGGCAGTCGTTGGCGGGGGCTGAGGGCTCGGTCTGCGCCTCTCCGCGGGGCTGCCGCCGGCACGTGTTGCACGGAATCGCCTGCCGGTCTGACAGCCTAAACAAAAGGCAGACCCTTATGCGGTAGGAGCTGGGTGACAGCTGCTTTGGGCTGCGTGACAGATCTCCGACTGACTCATGAGAAGTCTGAATTGCTGGCGATCCGTCTCCGTTGATTAGAAATGCCGGACCTGAGCAGTGCCCAGTCAGTCCCCGAGCTAGACAAGCTCCTGTCCCTGCCCTTCAGGCAGACACATGCTCTTTTTGCCCTCCTCTGATGTTGGAGCGACCTCAGCGTGCGGCGCTGGGTGAAGAACAAGCTTTGCAAAGCCTTGAGGAGCCGGTTAAAAATCACCAGTTTGCATATTCTGCCTGAGACCGTGCTGTTGGCTCTCGCATGAGCACGTGCTGTCCATCTGCAAACACAAACAACCAGCCTGAAATGCAAAAGGTGAGCCCGGAGGGAGCCGCGGGGATGCAGCCGGGGCGCGAGCTGCTCGGCCAGGGGGAGGCTGGCCAGACGGGCTCCAGCTCTGGGGCGCTCGCTGTGGCACAGGAGATGGGCAGTGACCTGAAGGATCTCCTGCTGCTTTTCCTTGTGCTGTGCCGTGGGGTGGGAGCAGCAGTGACTTGATAAACAATTTTAAAAGAGATGTTTTGATAAAGGATCCTAGACAGTGACTCATCTACCGTAGGAAGGGACTGGAAGGAGGGGCAGAGAGGAGCTTTTTAGGGTAAAAATGGGTCTTTCCCTCTCTTTATCAGAAATAGTGAGGGTACAAATCCTTCATTACTCCTGGAGTGGTATAGATCTGTTGATCGGAAACCTCCTAATCTGTGTCCCCTGCAACCTGTTCCAAGTGCTGTCTGCATCCCTCTCCCTGGGGAGAATCCTGCCTTCTGATCACATCCCTGGCTGGGACTTTGTTCTGAAGTTTGTTTGTTTTTTTTTTGGCTTGGGTTTCCCCCACCCCCAGCCCTTGATTTTATCTGATCATTCTTAGTCACTTCTGAGTCACCCTAAATAATTAATCTTTGTCCCTATGTAGCTGTTTGCTTTGCATTTCTGCATGCACCTGGCAGACCTGTGTGTGCACATTTCAGAAGCCACTTTGCTTCGCCCCATCTGTATTGCTTTGTTTTAACTTTCTTCCAGAATCTCCCCCCCCTCCCCCCAACACCCCCAGCCGTTTCTGCACTATCGCAGTGCTGGAGTCACGGAAAGCCCAGAAGTGCTCAGCGGCTGCATCTCCACCTTCTCAGGTGTGCTGTAGAGCACATGCATCTCCAAAGGGCTTCCCTAGCTATTCACTGCATTGCTGACTAACCTCCCCTTGAAAAGGCATTAAGTTGCCTGTGTACAGAGATGCTTTGCAGGTATTTGCTGTGATTTGGTTTAATCTGCTGTTTCCAGTTTACAATGGAATTGGTGCAGCCAGCTGGTCTCTGCTGATTTAGCACCTTATTCCTAGTGAACAGCCCTGCTTCCTCTCCCTGGCTGTTTTTATAGCACTGTGTTATGCTAAGTAATTCCTCCTCCTCATGCCCAGAGAATTACCTGGGAACATTCCTGGCCAGACCTTTCCTCTGTGCCAGCAACTGAGCTGTGGTCCAGCTATGAACTTATCATCCCTCCATGCAGGTGTTTTGCTGTTGAGCCCCCTCCTCCCAAACCCACCACCAAAAAAAAAAAAAACCCACTCCAAAACTTTAGTGATGAAATATATACAATAATAATAGTGGCTTGTGTTTTTTGAAAATTATTCCTTTGCAAGAAGTGACTTTTGACAAACAGTCTGCATCTTTTTCAGACCTATTAGTTTCTAATCAGAGCCATCTTTATTGCAAGGTATTTTTAAAGTCAGAAATCCTCCAAGAGGGTTGAATACATCAACATAAAGTGACCTGAAGTCACTGCAGAGGTTTGAGATGGCAGAAGCTGGGAAAGGCCAGGACTTCTGGGTGCTGTTCCTGGCGGTGATTGCTCTAGGTCACTTAGACTCAGACTGTCAAATCTGGGTGTCTTGCTTTCCTTGGGAGCTTAACCCAGATAAAGAGGTGTGACTTGAAATCCGGAACTGTTTTGATAGATCAGAACTGGGCCATGGTTGTTCCCAAGGGTGGATTTGGGTACGGAGGCAGGAACTACTAAGTTTCAAGGTTCTCATCTCCCTCTGTTGCATGGACACCTTCCTCTTCTGAGCACAGTTTTCTTCCTGACAGCCCCCGACAGGTAGCAGAACGTACAGAGGTTTCGTTGTTGCTCCCCAAGCGTGGAAAGCACCCCTTGCTGCGAGGTGCAGCAGTGCCAGCACAGAAGGGGCTGCCCTCAGGAAAGCAGCAGTTAAAGGCGAGGAGGGGAAGGCTTTCCGCCGTGCCGTGCCATCTCCTCCACGATGAGCAGCACTTAC